ATAAAATTAATTGTCTTTTGCCATGGTCAATGAAAAAAATTCATTTTTAGATAATATTTACTTTGATCTTCCAAATCAATCTTTTCTCATAATTGAGAAGGTCTATCTAGGTTATAGCTAAGAGAGTCCAATTTGTATTTTACATGTTATTAAATTTGCCATGGACGACTCCAAATTGAAAAGGATTGGCCACTATTTACTTAACATTTTGAAAAACGCTAAGTATAATATTATGAGGATGACCTTATTGAATCATATAAAAAAATGACAAGCTGTCAAACATCACAGTTGACTGACACAAACTCAAAAGCAGACATAATATATGCAGGGTTCATGACGAAACTATCTTTATCCTCAATTTAAAATGCTTGAAATTCATAAGTTGAATCCAATCAATTTTATTGTCACTTCAAAAGCCCTTGAATAAAAAACCTATTTTATCTAGTTTTAAAAGGTCATTGAAAATGGCATCATCTAGTTGACAGTGTGAGAAAATTATTGAAGAATAATAAAATAATCCACTGGTTTGAGCAACTAACAAACTTAAAAATGTATAAAACTGATTGTTAGTGATGTTAATTGTAATATTAATATTACTCCTTGAATTGTGGGATATTAAAGACAGTATAGAGCTTTTTATAATAACTCATTTTAATCTTGCTCATTTCAGCATCAGGATATTCAATATTACCTTAATTTTACTACTTCATGTAAGCCTACATGAAATGGTACTATTCCATTAATGACGTTTAAGGTTAATAGGGGGTTTGGCGGTTAGGGTTAGGGTTTGCATTAGGGTTTCAGGATGTTATATTCAATAATGAATAATCCAGTAGTAAGTGCCATTTAAAAAAAAAATTTTTTTTAAAGCAAGTGCCATTTCATGTAGTCTTACATGAAGTACTAACCCAATGATTATTAGAATGGTAAAATAAAGAATCTAGAATGCATTATTACGACCATGGACTTTAATGGAACACATGCACATTCTACACAGCTGAGGCTGCAAGCCTGAGCCCTTGGAATGGACCCTGAATACATCACACTCTTTTTTTTATTTTTGTTTGTTTGTTTGTTGTTGTTKTTTTTACATCATTTTAAGGCAGCACTTGCTATTTATTCAATGAAATGTCTTGTTTGTTTATTTTATATAGGACATAGCATTCAAGATTGTCAACAGAGAATGGGAGTATTCGCACAGAAAGGGGTTTAGATGTCAGTTTCATAACAATGTCTTCCAGCTTTGGTTTCACTTCAAGCGATACAGATATAGAAGATAGCGTGATGCCTGTCTTACTCCAATCATTTACGTCTCCTATAGGGCATTCTAAATCTGATTGTCATTGAGCTATGAGAGAATATTTCTTATGAGTATGAAAATAGATTGAAAGTATTTTGAAGACTGTGACAAATTGATTTGGGGACAGTGTACAGTCTGCAGTTTGTTTAATTGGTACAAAAAATCCTTTTAAAGTAAGTATCATGACTGTACCAACTTGGTGAAACATTACAAGACAAACAACCTCATTCCATGTACAAGTGCTTTTATTTTGTGCAATGAAGCTAGACAAGTACAAAACATCATGTAACATACTATGAAAACTCATTTTTATAATAAAATGTATTCAGCAAAAGCTATGATTGTATATATTATTGTAAAACACAACACATCCAGAATCTTCTAGATTCTCATATAACTTTGTATTTTAGGATTGTAGGGCTTGAAATAGCGACTTGCCAATTACCAAAATGTAGATCTTCATATCTATACACACTATATGGTGATTTTTATAATCCCCCACGCACTAACAACAACACAATAATTGTAGTTTAGGGACTAGTTTCGTCCGTTTATTAGGACCTTTTCAACATATATAGAGTGTGTATAGATATGAAGATAAGCAAGTCCTTCAATGTCTCGATTGAAAAGTTATCAAGAAAAATGTAGATCACATTTAATTTTTACTTCTGGTAAGCTAAAGAAAATTTAATCTTTCAAATAAAATAATAAAATGGCAAGGGAAATTATCTCACCATGAAAAGGATTTGCCTTATGCAAAAACATTTTTTTAAATGGCCATTTATGTTATTCTATTTCAAGCCTTCAGTTGTGCAATAATGTTAACGATTATTAAAGGGTTTCTTAGCTAAACCACTCTTTGACAATGATGACTTTAAATTTATTAAATACCAAATACCATTCTTTTTTTATATATTTTTTCTGAAGAAAAGGCACCTTAGAAAAGATACAGTTTCAAGCATATGAAAACTTAACAAAATACAATTCGAACTGTAAAATTAATGGAACACATTTTCTAAGAATATAATAAATTTTTTCACACACCGAATTTCAATTTCCTGAGGTAATCTTTTTTACATATTAATTTTCATGTGTTTGTTGAAGGATAAAAGTTTTTAAGAGGATTATTTTAATCTGAGACATCAATGATAAGTGGAGTGATGAATTCACTATGGCGTATTCCAAGAGAACAGGCAGGTGCTTTTTGTTTGTTGACGTACACCTTCTCTGGGCTGTGTGCTCCTGGACCTGGCTTCTTAGTAGAGTCTAGACAAAAGGAAAGAAACATTATTTCTTGTTCTCAGTATATGAACACTCCTTTCTACCTCCTCATTCTCTTTTACTCCGATGAAGGACTAGCGTCTGAAACGTCAGTAAGTTTTTTCGGTGTAAAGTTTACCCTTTTATCACTACTGTTTCATTAGAAACACCGACGCAGCTCGCACTAGTTTTTAGCTAGTTATCTCTTCTAATTATACATGCAGCTTCTCATTAATCCCATATAGGTAACTTTCCAATTATTTTCTTAATTGGACAGGTCGTGTTGATATGGGATTAATTAGGTAGCTATATAATTAATAGGTAATGGGATTTCATGCTCCCCAATCAAGAAATAATTAGACTCGAAAAATTCCTCTGACTGCCAAATTGGACTCGGCCTACAGCCTCATCCAATTTTGGAAGTCCTCAGAATTTTCTGTCCAATTATTTCTTAATTGGACAGCATGGACTCCTATTACTGTACTAATTTTTGAAAAGTTAGATAAAATGTGTTTAATTCTAATTAAAATAATGATATTAGTCAAACCAATTAGAAGCACATGCTACTGATAGATAAAAAAAAGAAAACCAACAGAGCAATACTATACCTCCAGGCATGTAGCTCCTGCTGAGCATAGAATACCCAGGTGCCTTGAGCTTATAGGTGTCTGGTCTTGTTGTGTTGTAGCGCCCTGGTCCAGGGGTCTTGGCAAGATCCTCAGAGAATCCTCCTGTCTTTGCTCGTGCCGTCATTGAGTAAGAAGAGGAGGAGTATTTGTTGGGTACTTTTGGACCAATTAGACTCGGCAGGCTATAGGAATTTGGTGATGGAGTTGCATCTCCTAGAAAAAAAATAATTCAAAACATTTCTTGATTTGAACATGAGTAAAATTCAATAGCCATCATCCCAGTGGCTGTTTCAGGGTATCAAATTGAATATATATTAAATTGATGGTTCAAGGCTCCTTGCTGTATGCTTCTTTCATCAGTGCCTCCCCTGTAAAACAATTAGCCTTCCTGCCACCTCCCATAATGTAACAGTATGCTATTAGGTATATCAATCACTTTCAACCTACGTTTTCTATATCTTGTTCTTGCAGCCATGGAATAAGCTGGAGCATGTCGTTCTCCTTGTGGGTGTACCTTTTCTGGTGAATATGTCCCTGGAGCTGGTGTCTTGAAGGTATCTAGGAGTGATTATCAATTTAATCATTAAATAATACTTAATCAGTTTGGGGGRAAAAAATGTGAGTTAACTCCTTTTCAGTTCTCGATGATTATTTTTCTCAAAAATGAACRAGGGAATTCTTTCCTTTTTCCCCACTTTTTCCCTCTCGAAAATCGACTCTTATCAAATACTGGTGAAACGGTTTCGGTAAAACGTTGATACTACGATTAACTATACATTGTCTAAACAATTCTACATTCTCTGAAACTATACTCAATTGTAAAACTTACTTGGATCCTTTTGCCTGCCAAGAATTGAGTAAACTGGCGTTCCATCTTTGCCAACCTTGGTGATTGTCGGTTGAATAAAATATCCTGGTCCTGGGCTGCAATCTTTCTTGAACACTATTAATTCAATTGAATAAGTTAAGTCTTTATCAACGTTCGCTATTCTATTTTATATACCATAGCAACCAATAAACAATTGGAAGTATTTTTGATAATTAAAAGCGCTTTATTGATGTAAAAAGTGGTATTTACTTGAGTTTTCTAATCTTGCTCCAAAGGAATAAGCTGGAGCTTTCCATTTAGTGAAATCATGACTCGTAAATCCGCATGTAGATGGCAGGCCATACCTTCCAGGACCGGGCCCTAAAGCAAAACAAAAATAGAATATCAAAAATGGGATAATACAGCTGCATAAAAATAAACACTCAAAAAATTAAACATTATTAGCAACCTTTAGAAATAATTTTTTTATGCCTCGAATAATAATAGCGACAATTTTTTGACCTAAGGGATTATAAGGAGTATTATTGAAAGACGCGATAAATTTGCCCAAGTTTTTTAGCTCTACCTTTTTTGCCTTTAGTAAAATGTGAAAATAAATGAAGATTTTGCTGTCTATGACAAAGTAAAAAAACTTCTTACTATTTTAATGAAAACATTTTGATGATTGAATACATAAGACTTTCGATCAACAAATATATTAAGGGTATCAAATGTTTGTTGATACTTATGGCAATCGACTTTTGACGAATAATTTCCAAATATCTTGCTTATTCCAAAAATATCCGGGTTAAATGTCTTAAAGACTTTATCTTTTTATTTTAAGCCTTAGTATTACATGTAACTTTAATACAGTAGAGCCAATACACAAGCAATAATCTTAATTGCTTTCGAAACATCCTGTGAGTTTGTGAATATAGACAAAACGTCAAGCCGGTGGAAGCATTTCTTATATTAGTATCCGTATAAAGCACAGGATGTCAGTATTTTGCCCGCTTTGTAATATTGTTAGAATTCTCTTAAGAATTATTATTGAATAACTGTATTAGCCAGAAACCGTGGTTTAGTATCAAAGATGGACGTGTTGTTCGAATCTCGCCGGCATTCTTTCACAGAAAGCAAAAAAGCTAACCAAACTCTCCCGACGCATCCAACATACAAATTTTTTAACTTTCAAACGACGAAACATTGAAAATTTATCGTCCACAGATATAATTTTTCCAACAAACTTTGTTTTTGATAAACATGTGGTGATCAAGGTTCAAAAAGCCAATTCGCAGTTTAGAATAGAATCTTCCAAAGTTTCGAATTTACCTCTCTCGCGCGCAGCGATCAGTGGAGCTTTTGTATCTTCGGCAACTTCAGCCATCTTTTCTGGACTTTGTCTGGAGATTTCGTTGAAATTCTTCGACTTAGAGAGGCTTTGATCTTCAAGAATTCTTGGAGAAGTCTTGATGCTCGTAGTTGTTGAGTGTCTTGCTGTTGAATGGGCTGTAATTGATTAGAACCTCAATGTTGTCCAACAAATGTTGCTACGAACGCCATTGCCTAGCAACTCGCATAGCAACAAACAAATAATTATGGTACGCTTCCGGTCATTCATGATGTCACTTCCGGTAAGCCGTGAATGCTGTCCTAAAACACAGGAAACCCAAAAAACTTCTCCTGTACATCGGAATTAAAAGAAATATTATGTTTCTAACTTGCTTCCTAGCTAGGTCGTAATCTTATTTAATGGGATCCCTAGCTTCCGTGATATTATTGTCCTCTATATTCTGTGAACTCAGACATCAATCGACGGTTTGTCGTTGTTGTTACATTTATTTATTTTTTCCACAGAAATATTTTCAATTCAATGAGAGAAGAAAAACCAAATTCGCAGAATATCGAAAATTGAAGTAAAAGAAATTGTATTTTCAACCATAGATAGGAACTCCAAATGAAGGTTTGATGGGATCTTTTTTCACCGGTCACAGGCCACGCACGAGCGGTTCTCGCGCTCACTGTCGAGAAAATCGAGAAAAGCAAGTATTCCATCCAGAACAGTATAATGTAACACATGAGACATTACTGAAAAACAATCGAATCGTAAGGTTTACAAACTAAAATTACACAAGCATTAAGAGAATTCACAAATAACTTGTGATACTGTTTGTTTTCTAGTGAAAAAAATAAAAAAATACTGATGCATTATACCAAATTTCCTACAAAAAAATTTTTTCCTTTTTCTTCTTACTGGTAGAAAATTGCAACGGTTATGACTTACGTTTTAACTTGATATTTACGTTGCGAGAAAAAATTCTTTATCTATCTATCCCCTTTTTAATGTATAATTAAGTGTAGGAAATTGGAGAAGTCTCCGTTAAAAAAAAAGACTAAAAAAAAAAAAACGACTAACTGTAACTTAAACTTATGAAAACTCTTCCCAGACTCTATTCCCTATTATTTCAAAACTTGATAAAAACCTTGCTTTTTGAATAGAGGTAATATCATATTCTTAAAAAGTTAGGTAAGGTTCATTCAGTGAGGTGAAGATAAAAACGACGATTACGAGTAACTGCTTAGCAGGTAGCTTCAAATTATTGTGAATAAAAACAGGTAAGGCAGGTGTTTAAGAAGCGTTTGCATCTAACAAACAACCAAGTCATCCATGTAATCAGGAGAAACGACGTTAGCCCTTTAAAATTTCTACAAATATTACTCGATTCTTCAGCTCTTTTTCCGACCCACAGCTGACATTCTCGGCGTCGATTTGAGCGAGTGAACAAGCGAGATGAACGGTCTGGTTTCTTTGGCGGGCTTGTTAATGTTTATTTTTAAAATCTCGACTGCTCAAGTACTGGAATTAAATGACGGCAATTTTCTAGAGACTGTAACAGGTCATCCACTACTCTTAGTAGAATTCTACAGCCCAAAGTAAGTAATGATACATTTTTTTTAGCTGTCAAAGTATAATTTTAAATCAAAGCGATGTTTCTAGTGCTTAGAAACGAAGCATTTTTCCCAAAGTTCTTCCTCTCCTATTTTGACATTTAGTACAAATCTTAGTGGTCAAGTTTATTAAGTAAGAATATTAAATCTCCTGCATGGAGTATTTGTAAAGACCTAACACTGATATGGCTTTTCTTCGCATATTTTTTGACATTTTGAAACTTCGCATATATAATATAAGAGAATTTTTTTTTTTAACTTAAAAAGTGTACGTTTTTTAAAATATATAATTCCTGTCGAATTAATATAGTCGTGACTTGGTTGATTTGATTTGTTTTCTAGGAATAACCATTTCTTTTCCGCTCTTTGTAATCTATATTTATTTGATTCTCGTACAAAATGAGAACTTGAAAATGATTAGCCTTGAGCTTGGAAATCTATGACTTACAAACTCACGAGAAATTTAAAATTTCCGTAGGAAAAGTTATTGCTATTTTTGTCATGTTTCGGTTCAGTGGCTCAGATGATACTTTTTTTGTAAAGATTAATACCTCGGAATTATTAATCTCGCTAAAATGCATAGCTTATTTTTGTAAAAATAAGCTATGCAGTTTATTATTTCATTTTTTTCCTCGTTCAAAAATGCCAAGTTGCGAGCCAAAATGTGCACAACTTGTGGAATGGACATGTCGTTATGACGACACTAGAGAGTATGTTTTCGTTGTCATTGTTCTATTTTTGCAGTTTAGTGCCAACCAATACAGGTCAATACAGTCCGATACGTCAGGTTGTGGGCTTACCAGTCCACTCAAAGGAAAGGGGGGGGGGGGAGTATTTTAATTTTTTGATTAATTGATGGACGCCAATAACCCACACTTCTCTGATCTGGAATTGTGTGTGTTGGTCGTGTAATTATGAAAATGGAACACAAACGTTGCCATAGTGATAAATAGGGGAACATTGCGTGACATCTGGTACATCTCCCTATTGCCAAAAGTGGTATAAAAAGTATGAATAAATATATTCTGTACGACTTCAAAGTAACCAAAAAATACATCGGATGTTGTTGCTGTTGTTTAGTAAAATGTGTACTTATTCCTGCAGATGTCCGTTTTGTCAAAAGCTTGCACCTGTGTACGAACAGGCGGCAAAAAAGCTTCATGATATACAGCCATCCCTTCAAGTAGCTAAGGTTTGTGAATTATTCTTATTATCCTTGGCTCTTTTTTGCTCCTTGGACTTCCTGTGGCGAGGAAAAAAAGACGAAGGGGAAAGGGGGAGGTTCCTAGTTCCTCTCTTGCATAAAATTTAACACAGGGATCCCAACAGAGGAGGCTAAAGTAGCTTAAGGTTTGTGATTTATAGCGATTAGCCGTCCCGAGATTGAGAGGAAAAACTCAGTCGAGTTGGCATTGCATTGCATTGTGGGGCTGTTTTATGGYCCATATTTCCAAGATGGATGGTACCAGCGACAGATAGATTATTCTATATACTTATTGTGTTTTAGGTTGACTGTACGAATGATGCTTGCAATGTCACCTGCACCAAGTCTAATGTCAGATACGTTCCTTGGATAATCATGTTCAAAAATGGTGCTCAAAGTAGTGTCTTTGGGGATCGCAAAAGAGATGAAGGTATGACGTAAGATACATTTAACTATTGAGTCTCATTACTCGCCTACGATTACAGGCAAACACTGTTCGTCGTGTGCTATTAACCAGAGAGTGTTTTATCGGATTAATCAGCTAAATAAATCTCATGAATATCACTACCAGCCTACGATAACAGGCTAACACTGCTATTTTAATGCTATTTTCAGAATCACATTTGTCATATAGTTTGTTTTTGATCACGCGCAAACTGCGCACGCTCAACCCTGTTACGTTTGATCACTTTTTTTTTTTTTGAAAAACAAAAGAAAAAATGAGCAAACTGGGTAGAGCACGCACAGTATGCGCGTGCAGAAAACAAACGACCAAATAAATGATTCTAAAAATAGCATCAAAGAGTGCTCATGATGGAGCGCGGGGATTCCTTCTCTTAGTTCATATTCTCTTGACCAGAGAGTATATCCTATTGCATGCTTGGTATCAATTATCTGATGGAATGAATCTCATTAACCTCAGTAACCAGCCGTCAGTGAAAGGCAAACATTGCCCTTCGTATTCGGACATCCCTATACATTTCTATTAAAAGGCACGTGTGAACACGAGGATGACTTGTATTTATCATAATATCGTCCTCACGTTAAACAGTTGCAATAATCTCCTAACAGATACCATTGTAAAGTTTGTAACTGACGTCGTCAGTAACACAACCGAAAAGCAACAAGATGTTATAGTTCCAAAGATCCCTCCGATAAATGCTTGCGATGAACATCCTCCACCATCGGCAGAGGTCCCAACGACGATCCCTGCAGGACTCCCTGTGACTGAACTCACTGATGCAACATTTGCAGACTTTATTAAGAGTAGTCCTTATGTTATAGTGGATTATTATGCGCCTTGGTGAGTCTTCGAGACATTGTGAGATTGAATTCTTGAATAATTTATGATTTGGCCCTTTGTTAATCAGTTAACCAGCGTACTTTCATGCTCCATCAGTAGCTAGTCATGAGAGGACATTAAGGGATTGATTTCTTAGCATAAACAAACAAAAAGAGGGAGGGAAGGGAGGGGAGGGGGAGAGAGAGAAAATAATTAATAAAGAAAAGTTAAATAAGGAAAGTTAAAGAAAAGAAATAAAGCAGCGCACAGCAAACCAATATACCTAACAGACGCTTAGGGAAGGGGTAAGGTTTAACAACAGTTTGACGATGTTTACGTATCCTACTGTAGGTGTTCAGATTGCCAAAGACTGAGTCCGCTGTACGATGAAGCAGCGCTTCAACTCCAAAAAACCAACCCCAAGATAAAATTCGCCAAGGTATGAGAGAAGCATGGTTAATGTTAATGTTATTGTCTTTTAACTCTCTTGGGAATGCTTGCAATCCATCAATTAAAAAAAGCTAATTAACATGTATGCGCTAATAATCAAAGGACTTACCAGATGTAATATGTAACATTTGATTGGATAGGTGGACTGTAACCGAGGCAACGTACCAACATTTAGCATATGTGCAGCATCAAAGTTAAAGTTTTTTCCTTGGGTGGTGCTATTCCATAATGGCGAGCCGGTACAGCATTATGACCAGGAAAATATTCCTAATACTGGTAAAATAACTACAGAATAGCAGTTAGACTCTATTGCCTTCAAACAATTGTTTTAAGTCGAGGCATTAGGGTGAATACAATATAAATGTCATAGAAACTAACCTTAATGCAACAATCGTTTGAATGCAAAGAGAGAACTTGATAATGTAGTAAAACTATGAAATAAAAATAAAGTTGACATTGACAAATAGTCCACTCAACCAGAACGTTCATTACATTCTGGTTTGAGTGTTTTGATTTTTTATTTCATGGTTTTACTGCATGTCGTCTACTGGAGTGTAACTCTTCTAATATCTCCTATCACTTTATTGTTTTTTTTTCGAAGAATCGTAAATTCTATCTAGTCATTTGTGCCCAAAATAATGGTTACACAATTTGTATTTCATAATCACAGATATCATTCCCCATGCCAAACTGATATAAATATATATGTTTTCTATTTTAGCTACTATATATAACTTTATCAAGTCTGGGACGCAAGCTAACGATGTAGGGTCAGTGGTTCAGCAGCTTGATGATTCAAGCTTTGATTCTATGATAAGCACGCATCCGTATGTTATGGTAGACTTCTATGCCCCATGGTAAGATGCATATGGTTCAAGATGATAATAATGAAAGCCTTTTAAAAGTACATTCATGATCATTGTGCGAGCGCGCGCTCATCGTGATGACGTCATTCCTATTTTCTGCTTAGCAAAATATTATAATAACGTCTTTAATCTCTTACAGCTCTAATACAAGGTCGGGACCCCTTTTTTATTTCGTTTTTGTTAAGTGCGTTAAAATTCTCAACTTAAGGGGAAAAATTTTGAAAATCTGGCGATGAGATCAAATCGAAATTAGAATTTCACTTAACGCGAAGGCTTCAATTTCACACTTATAGCCCAATAACATTTTATATTTCTAGTTTTCAGAACAAATTTCTAATGCTAACTAGATATTTAATTATTTTCTAGTCTTCTGTGAAAAATGGAGACGATCAATTTTTTTCCAGTAAAATATAACTTAATTTAATTTAATTTGTTCGCGCGTTTTTACCGTAAAAAGGGTGAACGAAGTCGGGGACCCCCATTTTTTATTTGCTTATTTTATTTCTAGTATGATGCATCCATGCTTCCATGCATCCATGCATCATAATAATAATAATATTTAATATTTATAAAGCGCATTTTTAACATGTGAATATGATCAAATCATCCATTCTTCCACCCATTTAGTATAGTATATATCAATATGTATCTATTGTCTTTCGCATTAAAGGTGTTTTTATTGCAAGAAGATGGCTCCTATTTATGATGAATTGGCAACAGAATTAAAGGATCCTTACCCTTCACTTCGACTTGTGAAGGTAATGTTTTTGTAATAACTGAAAAGCTACAAGCTATTCCGTGCATGTGTAGCTTTTATCTTTTTCAAGTCGCAATGACAATTCTTAAAATTGTCTTGGATGCAAAGCTCACATGGAATTACAAAAGAAAGGCCACAAATTCCATCGAGAAAAAGTTTAATTCTTTTTGTGTTTTCATGTTATCCACGCATCCTTTTACATACTTGTTGTGTATTTTTTCTCTTAACTCATTTATTGTTGTTATAATAAACTTGTTTTTAGTAAACTTGATTTAAAAGTGTTGGTGTCCTTATTTCTCACAGGTAGATTGTACTGTCACAAACCCGAAGACTAAAACTACATGTACAAAAAATGACATAGCGTTCCTACCGACGCTCAAACTTTTCCAAAACGGAAAGTTCCTCAAGGAGTACGAAGGCGACAAGACAAACAAAGGTACGTTGGTCTCATCATTTCCTGCCTATTTTTTTCGGTTGCCAGTGTTTTTATTTTGTATGACTGACCGACCGACCGACCGACCGACCGACCGACCGACCGACCGACCGACCGACCCACTGACCCACTGACCCACTGACCCACTGACCCATTTTTTTTATATCTCTATTTCAGGTACCATTTCAAGCTTTGTTACTGACGTAGTTGGCGTCGAGCAATCAGCGAAACGTACTACCATGAATTCCACTAAAACAAACAATGACAAAACCAAACAACTCGAGAAGAAAGACAAAAAAAGCAAGAAAGAATTAAAAAAAGATAATGCTGACGAAGAAGGGTCGTTAGACAAAGTCGTAGAAAAAGAAGATAACGAGAAGAAGCTATCCAAAGAAAATAAAAATAAAAAGGAAAACGTATCGAAAAAATCCCGAAAAGAAAAGTCAAGAGTGGACAGAGCTGCTCAAATTCTAAAAAAAGTCTTCAAACAGTTTAAAATCGATAAACTCACCAAGACGAAAAAGCACAGAAAATACGAGGATGACGACGAAGAAGAAGACAGTGATAGCAACCGTAACTCATGGCAACAAGTTGTCAGGGACATTCATCAGGTTGCTAAGGATATTCATAAGATGACTAGAGAATTCACTAGAGCGGTTTCTAATAAACAGCCAGGTGTTGATCGCTTGGTTAAAGCATTTAATCATTTAGTAAAATCTAAAGATGAAGATGAAGACGAATACTAGGTTATATAAAGTGCGCACTCGATAGTGGAAATACTTTTTAAAAGTACAAAGGAATTTTATAAAGTAGTTAAAGCTTTGAAGTGTAAATTAAACCCTTATTATTACATTATTGTGTTGAACAACTCAAATAAGAGCCCAATCGAGAAGGGACAGTGAAATTGAAATGAAGAACTGATAATTTTTATCCATCTTCTTTTTAGTATTCCATATAATGCTGCTGTATATATTATATATCCCTGCATCAAGAGAAATTTAGGATTTATTCTCACTGATACGATGACCACGACTTGTCCCTGCATATCACAGTTAGCTGTTATATAATCCCCTTTAGCCCACGGAGTGCGTGCTTTGGCATCTCAAGGTACCATCGACTGATCATAACCGGTCTCGGAATCAATTCTAACTTCTTCGCAAAATTACGCTGTTACATTAGAGAAAACTCGCTTCGACCCTCACGCCTCCCTTTCGACGACGTACGTACGTTTGTCCATCCTTTTGCGTAATCGCTCATTGCCTCCGGAAAGCGCTTTTTTTTAGGTTCACGAGCACAAAAATGAACCTTTTAAGCGAGGATGGACGCCTTCCCTTACCTCTCTGTTTTGAAATCGAGCCGATTCTTTTATAATCTGAATAATGAAGTAATGAATAATTAATACTACCAGCTCGGCTGTGAACGCGGCGCGCAAAGCATGAGTGGACAAAATGACCGGCCTTAGCATTTTTGGAGCTTGAAAGAACGAAGCGAACGTGGCGGTAAAGTGAAATTGTTTTTACTCTTCCTTTCCATATTTCTACTTCCTGTAGGCATGTATATCATATTTTAGTAAAAAGAAAACAGAAAAATATGCAAAAGTTGGGTTACAGTAGCCTGGGAATAAGGGCTGGCGACAAAACATCTAAACGCGCTGTGATTGGCTAAAACAAAATTCACCGCTCAGTTGGTACCCATCGCTTCCTCCCACAAGATTGAAAGAGAGAGAGAGAGAAAAAAAGACATATCGTGGAATTTTAGCTTTAATCGAGTGCTTTATGCTGATTAAATATGTTTACTGAATCATTAAATTAAAGTAAGTTAAAGCAAGTTATTTTAGGTTTTTATTTTTATCGCATCGGGATATTGTTAATCGCTGCATCTGAAAAAAAAGAGATTCAAGAACAAGTTAAACTGCGGTTTTGAATATTCTGTGAACTAGGTAGTTGCAAGCTGCCGTCAATCGAATATATCTCATCATCCATGCAGCCCYGCAACTACTGAGTTCGCAGAATATCTTAAACCGCGTTCTGTTTGATACGTACCATGGTTCTTGTTAGTAGAATAGCTGGCAGAGCACTCTCCTTAGTAAACTCCTGCAAAAGAAAAAAAAAAAAAAGGAATCAAATAACGGCAACTTTCTATCATTGCCTTCATATAACTATATGCGATTTGATACATACTCGTCGCCGTTGAATCGCCTTTATTTTGAAGATGTTCGAATTTAGTGCGATTTTCCGGCGATTTTTTCTGCAATATTCGCATTGGAAATCGCGCTACAAATCGCCTAAAGAATCGCCTGTGTAAACAAGCCTTACAGTCTGTTAATAACGAAAGTACTTAGGGGTGCGACCAAGAGGTGCAAATATTAGAGGAGGAGCTACAGAGCTTGAAATACCAAATCTATTGTTGCAGCAGGACAGAAACTATAATATATCGGTATTTTTATAACAAAGTAAATACCCAAAAAGGAATTGAATTAAGTTATTATTAAGTTATTAGCAAAAGATTAAAAGATCTCTCAATTAATTTCCTTAAGAAAACAAACTATGTTCTCTCACAACAGTATTCCCAACGACATGTCGTGCAGTGACTCTTAGAATAGCCTAGAGGTTGTTTCGGGGCTCCATCTGTGAGTAAGTCGTGCACTGACTTAAAAAAGCCTAGGGGCTGTTTAAAAAGGGTTCGTCTTTTGTTCACCGCCAATCGGTCAGCTCACTTGGTTGAGCATCGGAACTTCTTCTTCCTTGGAGCGAAACTGTCGTGGTTCGAGCCAGTGACGATAGCAATAGGCCGCTCACGGATCACGTCACTTAACCTCAGTCTCGTCAGCGTGTAATATATTCTTTAGAAATTGCCTACAACCTGTGAAATTTTTAAGTGTTTCAATTGTTCGATGATGTGTAAATTCCTTTCATTACTGCGTACTGTAGTCAAATTCTAAAGAATAATTACACGCTGACGAGGCTGAGGTTGAGTAACGGGATCCGTGAAATGGCTTATTATTAGTTACTAAATAGCTGCTATTTGTCAGTATCAACTTTATTTTTATTTCATGGTTTTACTGCATGCGCTCTATAACGCTAATTGGATTTGAGTGAAAACTGATTTTAAAATAATTTAAAGAATACCCACCTGAATATCCTTCGCATTTCTCTTTACATTCAGCTCTGGTTTTGAAGTTGTTGGCGTTTCCTCCGCATCCACCGTAAAAAAACCGTTCGCATCTTCGTTTGTTGGAATTATAGTAGATTCTGGGCTTCCTGGCACGACAGCGGCCAACAACCTTTGGCAAAAGACAGTCACTATCTATTCCGTAGGATAAGTCTGGGGAAAATGAAGATATGAATGTATGAATGACTGAAAGAAGAAAAGGATGGATGGATGGATGGATGGATGGATGGATGGATGGATGGATGGATGGATGGATGGATGAGTAGAGTTGTTTGTTGGTTCTCTCCTGT